TCTTCTTGTTTTGTGTGATATAGAGCTGAAATAAACGCCGTATGGATTGCCTTCGTAACACGGTATGTACACTTTGTTATTGGTATGCCATTTTTATTCTGACAGACTGCACGTCACTGTCGACCCCGGTCCAACCTTTCTTTGCCGAGTGTCGCGTCAGTATCGAGTTGCAATCGTAAAAGAACGGTCCCGAAGCGCTTACCAACAGCGCGAATACAAGACTTCCATCAAGCGCGCGCGTCCGCTCCGAGTGTAAGCAGGTATTTACGTGGCTCTTGCTGACACTCGTAGTTCAAACGTATCTTTTTTAACGTCGGCTCGCTCCTGCATCTCCGAGGCCGCGAAAAACGCCATCTACGTCGCTTTGCAAACGACTGACACGGGCCGGCCCTTCTGCCAACAATGACGGGGTGGTGACAAGACTCGCTGCACTTCCCAACAGGCATACCGGCGTATGGGACTAGTCCCATGCTGTCGCTGTAGCGCAACATATCTCATTGAATTTCGCTCAGCTGCGATGCGGCGATGAGAGGCGCCGATTCAGGAAATACGTCGGTGATATCAGCGCAGTAAAACCTACCGGCGCACCCCAACTCGTTGCCGCTAACACTCCCATTCTCCTACTGCCGAGAGAACTTCCGGTTCCGGAAACGGTCTACGTCACGGCTTCTTTTGCGGTCAGTTGGAGAGAATGAAAAAGTCGATATTTCAATAATTTTTTGTGTAAAAGTTAATAAACCGAGACGAAAACGGATGCCTGTTCGGCATTCAGTGAACATTGACGGTTTAATGTAAAAGTTATCTGGAAAAAGTAAAAAGGTCATTTCATGGTCCCTTTAAATAAGTGCTCCTTCTTTATTAGTGTCAAACATTCTTTAGCTCTTCACTAGAGTTTTATTGGGACGTGCCGTGGCAAAGACACAGTCTGTGCTGCGCAGACACAGACTGCACATGTGCAATACAGACAGAAACTATGCATGCACGATAAGGAAAGAATGTAGCTCATCCACGTGCGCAACACAAACTGCAAATGCGCGACGCAGAAAGAATGTAGCCTGTCCCCGTGCGCGACACACGCAGACTGCGCATGCGCGACTGAAACCTTTCACGTAACACCCCACAATTGCCTAGCAATTTGCTGTCCATTAATGACTGAGAGAGGTGCCAACATTGTGGAGGACAAGGCCTAATTAGTCAGTGTCTATTAGAAATCGGTAAAAATATAATTTCTTGAGTCGAGGAAAAAGTTATTAATTCGAGGAAGGGGGTCCCTGCTAATTGTACTCACTTGGAAAGACATGTACAAATTACTCGAAAAAGGTAATAAAGTTAAGTTACTGAGTATCGACGCCAAAAGTAATTGGATTGGAGTAGAAATTACTCATTTGTAATAGCAATCGAGTAAACTACTAACTACTGTAAAAAAATAGCGAGTTACTTTGAAGTTACTTCCCAAGTTACTCTTTTATATTTTTGTGGTAGCAAAACGAACAGCAGTTATGATCCGTAAAAAAAACGTCGAGCCTAAAATAAATGCAGTCATTTTATGGCTTGCGTTTTAACCAAAATAGATTATTCACTCGTAGAAGCAATTGACTCTCAAAGTTTTTGATAGGGGAGTTTCCCTCTTTTCCTCCTAAAGACGTCCCCAGCCAAGCTAAAAAGGCGTTCCACCGACGTGCTGGATGGAACGGCAGCAGCGTTGAATTTGAGAAACAGGCTATGCAGGGTTGGGTAAGCGAGTGTCGACATCTTAAGTGTCCATGACGAAACATGTGAGGTTGCCCTCGGCTAAAGGGTCCTTTATAACAAACTCTCCTCCTTTTTCTTTTTTTCAGCAAGTTGAGATTGTTATGACTGGCCCTTCTTTATTCCCCTGACGTTCGGAGAGTATGCTGAGTGAGTGCACCTGATTGTCATGGGTTCAAATCTCGCGCCACGACGATGACATCGTCCTGACGACTGCGCGTCTCATTACAGTGCTAGTGCTATGCTACTGAAAAGAAATTGTTTTGGTTCAACAGAATATGAAACAAACTATACTTTGCCGCTGACGCCGCGGCCAAAAAAAAGGATCCCCCAAGGGTGACTCGCAATTTTCGCCGGCGACTAGGTTTCCTGACGCACCTGCCATACCTGAAAAGTAAATCGTTTTCAACAAAGAGGAGGTCCCCTGGCGTAGAAGGTCGGAAGGACGCAAAGAATTACGTGAACAAGCATCGTTACTCGTACAGTTGCAGCTGGAAGCGGGAACGTGCTCCCATGAACGGATTATCCGTGTCTGCATTCGAGCGCGGGGGAGTCCTTCTTTGCAAGGGAGTATGCACTGACGACGAGGTGGCCATGGGAACAGGCGCCCAGCTGCGAGGTCATTCCAGTGGAACCCCCAAACCGCTTGAGGCAGAACTCACTAAAGGCAGTCAACATGAAAACAACAACAATCTTCGGAGTGTCCCCGTCTTTCGCGGTTGCAGCTGGAGTCGCGGCGCCTGAGTGCATTACCGGATTAGGTCAATACCCGACCAAGACTTGGTAAGCATCTCTGCCTGCGTTTGTGCGCGCCGGTGTTCGTTTTGGCTGCTCATCGCCACCTTGGCTTAAAGGGGCGGTGCAACAATTTGCGGACTTTGGCTAATTAATTGCGGGAATTGATCCCGGCCACATATAAAACGAAGGACCGAAAACTATTCTTTCCTGCTTGCCCTAGTTTTCATTAAAAAAAATAAAAGAAATTGGTATCTCTGGCACCCCTCAACTCAACATTGAAGCGGCACCAGCTTCGCCTGTGACGTCATTCGGAGTGGCGTTGGTTTTCGGTTGGGTGCTTCTGGCTTCCGTTTCCCCAGCGCTCGCCGGCTCGCCAGGCTCGCCGCTCTCCCGTCGATTCCCGACCAACATGGCGGCATGGGCGGACGGCCTGAGCGACGTCGAGCGCAAGATGCTTGCGTATAGTAAGTCAGTTGGACTTGTGCGGCGGGCAGTCGTAGTCGAGGTCGAGACACCAGGAACAATAACGATACCACGATACTACGGACCCCACGACCAACGCACTCCGTCGAGCGAGGGAAAGACGAAACGTCCGGGTTGCTCGTGTAGCCGCCGTAGGTGCCTCCGGCGTCGACGGATGACGGCGACGGCAGCTTTGGTTGACTTGCGGTAGATGGCGCCACAAATCTTTTAGCGGCAATATTAGGCTTTTGAAGCGTTTCTGCATGCCTAAACAACAAGATTTTTTTTAAACTTAACCTCAAATCAAGCTTACAATTGCCTAACACTATCACTTACAAAAACCACTCCGAATGACGTCAAACCACAGGTTCCATTTGCGGCCACCATGTGGCCGGAGGTTGGGAAAAAAAGTGTTTTTTATTTTGCGATTACGCAGCGAAATAGAGGTATTTTGGGGTATGGTGGCACTTTTTCTCTTACTTATGCCGAAGTAAACAATATAAAAAATTCAAGCTGCACATTCATTCAGTGTTAAAATCATTGCACCGCCCCTTTAAGGACGCCTGTGATGCAGTTTCTACGGCTGCTCAGTACAAGTGCGTGGGAACGGAATGTGAGGGGGCCCCTTGTTTGGGAATGCCACTTCATCTGCCGGCGACTTACTTATTTCTGTGCTCAAACTTATGTGATGAGCACAATTAGCACTATATTTTGAAAAGACTTGGTAAGCATCTCTGCCTGCGTTTGTGCGCGCCGGTGTTCGTTTTGGCTGCTCATCGCCACCTTGGCTTAAGGACGCCTGTGATGCAGTTTCTACGGCTGCTCAGTACAAGTGCGTGGGAACGGAATGTGAGGGGGCCCCTTGTTTGGGAATGCCACTTCATCTGCCGGCGACTTACTTATTTCTGTGCTCAAACTTATGTGATGAGCACAATTAGCACTATATTTTGAAAGTAGTTAGTAATTTGAGTGGAAGTTACCTGAAAAATGTAGTTAAATTAAACTACTAATTACCTAAATAAAGTTGCAATAGAAAGTTACCAAGTTACTCGGAAAAGTAGTTAAACTACAGTAGTTTGATTAGAGTAGTTGAACTACGTCCAAGTCTGGCAGAAGAACTATGCTCGATAAACATCAGAAATGCTACAAAAATAAGAAATATTTGTTAATAGTTTGACGAAATGACAATGACAAGCTGCCTATGAAGAATTATCCTATACGACGAATAGCCCTGCTACCAGTTGACATGTAGCGAACTGTCATTCGACAAACGGTCTTACAGCCCCCAGATAATACAGGACACTTGGCAGGTATGACTAGGGTGTATACTTTCCGGCGTTCATTTATGGCAAAAATCGGCGGATGTTTTTTGGTGTTTAGGCTCGTGTCTGTCACTGACGCTCGCTCCTTCCTGGTGACGACGCGAAAGTTCGAGAATGCTCGCTCAACATTTGTGCTGGACACGGGAAGCCCCAAAACGTCCAACGAGGCTTGGGACAGTCCTGGTCAGCTGAGGCTAGCCTCTCAGGCCACTGATAGTGATCTTCAAGCTCAGCGGCCCTGGAGGACTGCTGACCTTGGATAACAGTGAAACAAAGCTGCTGTCCTCCAAGAGTCCAAGACAACGTAGGTCACAAAAGAAAGACAGGAACAGTACATGATTCCGGGTAAGATAATGTGTTCGATGGAAGTTGGCGTAGGAGTTTTTTCAGTGAAAAAAAGCAACATTTCTAAAAAAAAAAATTTAGAATTCAGTCTTTTTTTTTTTTTTTTTTGAACAATTTTTATTTCCGTTACCGGCGGATGCTTATTGGTGTTTTTTGGTTAAAACTGGGAAGTATACAGGACTTTTTCGGTGAAAAAAAAACAGCACTTGTTTGAAAATATGAAAAAAAAACTGTGTTTTTCAGTTTTAACCAATTTTGTATTTTCGGCACTGGCAAATGTTTATCGGTGTTTTTCGGTTAAAACCGGAAAGTATAGAGCCTAGGTATGAGATACACCCAGCTCACATTTTACGTTCCTGCAAAAGTGCACAATGTATCCCTTACCTGTTCATGAAGGTTGTGTAGCTGCTTGTAGCGCACGGTGCAGTGGAATGCTCCATTGACATGGATGTTGTATGCCTATGAAAGTGTGAACAGAGCACCCAATGAGAGCCCATAACTGGTAAGAACACTGGACAGCTCAACACCTAATGATAATCATGATGTTTAAAGCCCGAGACTGTGGTGAGGGAAAGAATAGGAAACTTTGAACTTGAAAAAGAAAGGCACAGGAGAAGAAGTCTCAAATGTAGCTAAATCGTTTCTATGGCCCCAATGGACACCAACTCCTCTCACAAACATACAGTTTGATCACGGTGCACTGGGTGAGTCACTGAATAACCTTTTAGCGATGTGCACAGTCAGCAAGACAAGGACAAAGGGAGGACAGGACACAAATGAGTGCCTGTCCTGTCCTCCCTTCGTCCTTGTTCTTGCTGCTCAATTTTTATCAGACTCAGGTTTTACACAAAGAGCCTTATGATATTAAGAGGATCATAAGAAAAACGATAACAATCAAAACAATAGAAAAATGTATTTCCCAGGCCTCGATGCAACTTCCAATTGGTGCATTGTGAAAACAGTGTATGTACGGAAGAAGGGTTCTTGGCCAACGTGTTGTTTCTTCGTCCCCTTGTCCCTGTTTTTTAAGCATTCAGTTAAGAGGGTTGTTGGTGTCTACCATCAAGGATATAGAATGAGCGAGAAAATAAACGATTTAGCTGCTTGTGAGATGTCTTCTCCCTTGCTTTTGTTCTTCGACTTCTCAACCCTCACCACAGTCTTGCCTGCACACTCACATTCTTCTCATTAACCTAAAGATAGACTTTTTCCAAGTAAAGGCCAGAAGTCCACACACGAATCAGTCCCAGGGTGGTGCAGAGAAAAAGCTTAACTACGTATGCGGACTTGACGCAACGAGGAAAATAAAATCATTAGACATTTCGCCTCCCAAGCGGGAGGCATCAGACGGGAATTGGGAATGACCGCACTACAGGCCGACGCATCCCTGTGGACGAAGCAAGTCCTCTCCTCCCTCACCTGACAAATAGCCGTGTTAAGGTCTCGCTTCGTACACACTGGGCGACCCACGTGGGAGACCAAACGACGAATGATTCTGTTTTCCTCATTGCGTCAAGTCGGCATACTTATTTTAATAAAGACGTCTCCCGGCTTCTAGAGTAAGTTTGCAGCTATCTAGCATGTCTGCTTGTACCTGTGTAGCAGAGATACAATATTGAACCAGGTAACCTTAGTCCCGTTAAATGCCTCGCTTGCCAGACGACAAGTGATGCCCATAAAAGGGAAGTTGTCTGGTGCAGTACTCTCTGTTAGGAAAACAATGAATGAACAAACACCCCAGTTGCCTCCAAAAGAAGCATAAAGGCCACTGCCCAAAGTACAGTGGGTGCTGCCGCGAGACAACCCAAACACCTGGCAGATCTCGGTCAAATTCAAATGTGAAGGACGTAACTCTTTGTTACTGAGAAGACACTGCTCCAAGGTACCTACGGCATGATTCCAGCCAAAATAACTGAATAAAGATTGAGCTTCCATGGAGCTACGAGCACTAGGAGGAACATGCGTCTTCCGACGGAGTGCAACCCTCCTTGTCAGAGGTATCTCTAGACCAGAGGTGGCCAGGCTGACCCAGCTTAAGAGCCGCAAACAAAACCACGAAACTTCCAAGAGCCGCACGGCGGGCGGGTCAAACTTTTGTCCAGAGCAATGAGCGAAACTCGAACTACTTTTAATCTATCCGGGTCAAAAGCAGTCCAACTGTACGTAAGTTAGCAGTAGCACGGGTCTACCAAACCGCAACCTGTCTTTTGATGTAAAACGCGTTCCATTTCTCTTTTTGGGGAAGTACTCGTGTGAACAGGAAGGAGGCAGGGCATAGGGGGAGGAGTGGGGAGGGGAGGGAGCCACGAGCCGCACTTTAACATGCAAAGAGGCGCATGCGGCTTGCGAGCCACAGCTTGGCCACCCGTGCTCTAGACTCTAGGGCTCTCTATGCCCTTTAGATGAGGCCCATTCCTACATTACGGGTTCTCAAACTGTGCTCCTCGGAACTCCAGAGTACCCAAATCTCCTCAACAGTCTCTGCCGGTGTGTCATTCTTCTTTGTTTAGACACCATTTTAGGAGATCTGGGCCAGCCGCTGGTGCAGTGGTTCTCAACCACCCATGTTTTGGGGAGCCTCTCTAGATCAATGGAAGTGATGGGGAGGGGTGGGGATAATAGGCAATTACAATGACAAAATGGTAAATAAAAAAAGGAAATGCATGCAAGTGAATTTTGAAGCCCTGGAGCATACACTAATCAACCCTACTCACTCGGGGCATATGTAGGACTGTCAGCATGGACAAAAAATACATTTTATTGCTCAGCCCTAAGAAGGCCTTTGGGGACCCCCATCGGAGAACCACTGCACTGGTCCATGACTAGGAGCCAATCACTGCCTAGCATGTGTGTTTACAAGAGGCTACTTTCTGGTATCAATACCAAGACCAGGAAGGGTTTAATCGAGAAAGATGCCCCTCGACAAGTTTGAAAATCTGTCCCATACAAATGTTCAAGCAAAATCTATCGAGGGCATGGAGGATCAAAAACTTATGGCGACAATGGTCAACCAGATGCACAAGTTAGCTGTACTACAAGCCATGTAGGGCACTGTGCTAATCAGTGTCAATCTCAATAACATGGCACGTTCAAATGACGCTTGAAACTGTTGAGAATGAAACACGTATCAAGCATTGTTCAATTTGTGCCGTGCCCTCTTGTGGTAAAAAACAGAAATGAGTATCTACCCAAAATCCTACAGATTAACTGTTTAAGCTAACTCGCATGGACCGTAAGAGGAAATAGCCTAATGTTACGATGGTTTACCAAAAATTTTAGTTGACAGACCACCCGAGGCACTATGGTAATCACCATCAAATTATATAAATGATGTCTCAAACTGTTGGGAATGAAACACGGATTCAACTGTTTTAAATTTATGTTTTGTCTATACACAAAAAACAAAAACGTGGGTCGTGTATCAGCTACAGAAATCTTTGAGCAAGTATCTTGCAATAAAAAGGAAATCTGAGCACACTAATAATCTCTTATGTAACTGGACAATTAGTATGTTGGAGTAAATCAGTTTGATTTTATTGGCCGCTCGCAGATAAATCCCGTCGTTCCATCCCTCAAGGCGTTTGTTGGCAGCGCAGCGTGGCAAATCTGGTTTGCAACGGTGCCCTTCGATCGGTGCGCGAAGCCAGGACGCGCTCAGCTGCACAACCTACTTCTCGAGCTGCGCACCAGTATTTCCTCACTCACTTCGGACGCAAGTTGAGATCAAAAGGACAGCGACCGTCGCGGCGGCAGCGGAGAAACTGAAAAAGTCTAACCATATCGAAAGAAAAATGCGCCCGAGATGAGAACTGCTACAGTTGCAACACGCGTTTGACGAGCTGTCTTTGCGTCGTTCTTTAGCACGAAACACGAGCAGCTCCCCAACACATCGCGATTCTGATCAAGGTCTACCAGATACTCAACACACACTGAGATCAACAGATCCATAAACAGTGAACGACACTTACAACGTACGACGATCCGTTTTCGTCCTTGAGCTCTTGGGTGTCCGGTATGGAGAAGTGCATTTTGGAGCGCGGAAGTCAGCAGCGTACGAAGCACATCAGAGGCATTCGGGCCAGATGGGGCGCAGATAGAATCTCGGGAGTAGGTCGCCACCACACAGTCGCCCACTCGGCCATGCCCCTTTCGCGCTCTGCCAGCTTCTCGCTTTCCTGCGCCCAGTGTACCCAACATACACAACGTTGTGTCAATGGGGTAATCGCTCTGTAAATCTTCCCGATTATTAGCTAACTGAAAATAAAATATAAACGCGAATAGTTCTTGGCGTTATATTTTAGCAGAAGCACGGCGCTGTATACAAATAACCACAAAGAAGAGAGAAAAACAAAGCAAAAAACTTGGAGTTGCTGGGGTTGCAGGAGTCGACTGCGACGACTGCGACCGAACCAGCCGAGGTTCGAGGCAGGGGGGTAAAGGTGGGTGAGGAGGAGTGGCAAATCCCGTGCGCCGACATCCTGGGTCCCGAGTGAACGAACGCAAAAGAGAGCGACAGAACACGAGAGAAAGAAAGCAACGTTGCCATGGTAACGCGAAGAGTGAAAACTCTTAGCAATATAAACAGTGATAATTTAACGTTGTAAACTAAATTATGAGCTATTCTAACGCTTATAAAAAGCAATAAACTCATTACGCTGCATTAACTTCCCTTCTGTCGAAATCTCGGAAATCTGGTGGTTGCGCAGTTTCGTATTCCTCAACCGCGCCCAGCCGCGCCCCACCAGCGAAGCCGGGTATATGGTTTAGTTTAGCGTTAACGCGAGGCCGTACATCTGCGCGCTTTTCAAAAAGAAAGCTTCGAAAAAAACGTGAATATCTTTCCACCGGTAAGTTCGTGAATTGTTGAAGTTCACGAAACTGCTCTGATGATGTAACCGTGTTTGGGACCCAGAAGGTCTGCCTGCATGATCCGCCGCTTGCGGCAGCCAGAATGTATGGGAAAATGGCGGACCTTTTCCTCTAGAGTTAGTATGTATGATCTCTATGGTTCGAGGGTTCGAGTCAGGGGGGTAAAGGCGGTAAAGGTGGGTGAGGAGGAGTGGCAAATCCCGTGCGCCGACATCCTGGGTCCCGAGTAGACCTGTGCGCCGCCGCGCCGCGCCGCCGCCGCCGCCTGTTTTGCTCTCGCCGCCCTATGCCGCCGCCGGAATCCCCAGAGCCAGCACGCCGCCGTCGCCGCCGCACAATAAATCCGGCGCGCCGCCGGCGTCGCCACTTTTTTTTTTTTTTTTTTTTTTTTTATGGGGGGGGGGGGGGGTGGGGGTATTGGTGTTTTTTTTTTTTCTGCTTCTATGTGAGTTTTACCTACTATATTATGCATAAAAAATTGATAGATTGTTTTGCCTTTCATTTTTACTCCTGTAAATATATCAATAAATGTAGTTCCATAAGAAACGGAGACACAGAACGATAAAAAAACGGACAAAACAACAAGTCTCAAACACCGTTTGTAGTTTATTTGAACAACGAACGATGTTACATATACCTCAAAACCCTCACCACCAAAAAAGAAACACATCCCCATCACTAGGTCACCGAGAGCCGGACACTCAGACAGAACCCATATGATTCATGATTCAGACATATCTAAATGATTCACACCAACCAGCCACCCTGATGACCTCCCTTGAGGGCTGACCAGCCACATTCGATAACAGGCAACTCCAGCTCCAGCACAGCCCTTACAATTCTTAGAAAACACACAAAAAACGCTTCGTATCACTGTCCAACGCCAAGGACGGTGTGCTTACTCAATTACCAGAGGTCAAAATATGCATGGTCTCCCTCAGAACTCTCCTACCATTGCTGATTGTTGGGCGAGTTGGTATTGTGCGTGAGAAAACATGATCGCGCTTTAAGACGTAGAGGAAGAACACCACAGAGCGCTTACTTTCAACTGATTTAATCCAAGCGCCTCAGCGTAGATACACACTGCGTCATCGCACCACATCGCAACCAATCCTTGGCCCCGCCGCGGACCGCAAATACACTATCTCTTTTTCTGCAAAGTCAATTGAAACCACGCATGACTGCAGGTGCAAACCATTATTTGCTTCATCCACTGTTCTCGCTAGGCACAAAGATAAGACTGCTAGAGAGATAATTGAGGCGGACGCCATCAATAGTTGCGGCACGTGTTGTGCACGTGTTTTTTTCTGGTACCCCTGAGGACTACCCCGAAGAGGAGGTTAACCTTTCTAATTTGTGCTGAGCTTTAAAAACTAAATTTACATCGAACCTCTCTGCCACTGATACAAAGTTATGAGAGGTTCCAAGGTAGTAAGGCACACACACAACATTCCTTACAACCCGTTTTTTCAACAGGAGCCGGATTAAACGTATGTACCTTACACCTTGAGCACAACTGTAACAATCCCATCCTGGTGTAATTGTTCAAATGGTTGTGAACGAAAATTGAGCTTGGCAGAAGGTGTTGTCGGTTTTTATCTAGAAATGCCTGACAGGAGTGGAGCAACAGCCCATTGTCACTCAAAAACTCTGAGCAATTGATTGAAATATTGAATCCGCATCATGGGAGAAGGTGCGATGTGATAACTGTAGACATCAAGGACTTATGTTACTCTATGGATTAGTCGGAGCTGTTAATAAGGGTCAGGAGGTGGTGTGATGATAATCTAGTGAAGTTGCAGTCTGCCAATGGGAATGATGTAGATAGTTTTACAGCATTCTGGAGTTTCATCTAGAGTCCACTGCCGTAGACTTTGATGGTTCTCTTTTTATTCAAAAACAGGGTGTGTGTATCGGGTCGTGAATTTCTCCAGTGTTGTCCGAAAGTTTTTTGACAACGAGACTTATGTACACGTTGACACGGTTGTGCGGTCCTTGTCGATTGGACCGCACAACCCTGCCATCACAACAGTCGAATTAAGTGCTTATAGACCTACTGTTGCACACAGGGGCGGATTTAGAGGGGGGGGGGGGGGAGGGGGGGGTCCGGATGTCCTGACCCCCCTCTAGATTTCTGCATGTGTAAAATTTAGGGCGTTAAACGAGGGTGTTAAACGAGGTTTCTAAACATATGGTACGCTTACCAGTACCTGACCCCCCCCCCCCCAATCAGGAAATTCCTGCATCCGCCCCTGGTTGCACACGGTAAGGGGCCTGTGCTGGATGTAGGGCAAGGAATCAGCCAAGCCTCTGTTGGTAGCTGAGCTGTCACTTGAAAATAGTTAAGAGTGGTGTAATTGCGTCTGCGATGGATAACGCTTGTAAAAAATCCCGTATGTTTTGGGTTGGTGAGGCAGTTGAGTTGCAAAAGATGCGTCGTTTGGAAGCGGGCCATCACCATGATGTAATTGTTAGAGATGTGCTCAAGGTGCTGAAGGTTTAATCCGGCTCCTGTGGAAAAACCGGTGGTGAAGAATGTTGTGTGTGTGCTTTACTACCATGGAATCTCTCGTAACTTTATATCAGTGGCTAATAGGTTCGGTGTAAATTTAGTTTTCAAAGCTCAGCACAAATTAGAAAGGTCAACCCCCTTTCTGGTGGTCTTCAGGTGCGCCAGAAAAAAACTTAAGAACCCAGATGTAACTTTTCAGGCAGGAGTGGTGTACGGGACCCTTTCATTTCGTCGAAACTCGTTTCGTGGAATTAAGTATCGCAGACAACATTTCATGGGCACACGTTTCACAGACACACGTTTTGTCGACACGATCGTTTCATCGACACTCGTTAAGCGAATTGCACGCTGTAGGGACATTTCGTCACGCGTGTATCAAATTAGTAAGGGTTCTGATGGAGTTGCCTGTTATCGCATATATGGCTGGTCAAGCGGGGTCGTCTGGGTGGCAGGTTGGTGTGACCATGAATGATTTGGATCTGCCTGAATGTCCGGCTTTCAGTGACCAACACTCTTAAAAAAAAGGGTGTATTCTTACACCTTTGTCTTATATAAGACACCCCAAAACTTCAGACGTCGATCTGACGGTACTAACTTTCACGAGAGGCTTGATAGCCGTGTGGTACAATTTATTAAAATAGCTAATGTACGTTTTAATGACTACAAAAATAATAATAATCGGGGTTTTCTTGGCCCTGCTGCAAAACATCAGTGTTTTCTTTCTGTGGTCTTTGGTACGTACTTTAGCTATTTAATCAGTTATATCGCTCCGTTATCAAGCCTCTTGTAAAATGTGTGGCCGTCTGTGCGCTGTGCGTCAAACTAAAGTTTTGGGGTGCGTTATATGGGACAAAAGGGTGTATGGTGATACCCATTTTTTTAAAGAGTACTTTTTTGGTAGTGAGGGCCTTGACGTATATATAAGAGCGTTCCTTGTTCAAAGAAACTATACCCGTTTTTTCAAGAAAAAAAGAAAGTTTTGAGCGTTTATTTATTTATTTATTAAAGTACCCTCAGGACCCGAAGGCATTACAGAGGGGGAGAGCACATACATGAAACAAAGATGTTCGTATACGCGACGCAAAGTCTTACGAGATTTGGCTGTCGGAGAAAAAAGCAATGATTTTGGCGCTGGAACGTGTACGTCTTGATAACATATATATAGTAGAATCCAGCTACATATATCTTAATTCTCCACATAAAGGTGGAAATTAGTAATGGTTCGCAAGGAGTCGGACTCTTTTTACGAGAGTTCTTGACGTGAAAACGGGTATAAAAGCTGTGTTTGAGACTTGTTGTCTTGTCCGTTATTTTTATCGTTTCGTGTCTCCCAAGTTCTTCACCAGCTCGCCTCTATTTTTAAAGTGTTATAACGGAATGAAAGGTTTTGTAGACCGCAAAACGATTTAATGAAATTTTTGTGAAATAATTTGATACAGAAGGGCTATATTCGCGTCCGTTTTCAGGCTTCTTTCAAACGTATTTTATTTTGATCCACACGCCTGGCTTGTTTCTGTCACATCGTGTTTCTAAGGGTCCTTCTTTCTCGTTTCCACGCCGGGATCCAGCATCGGGGGTCGAAGTAGAGCCCCCATCCGGTCGAGTCGGGGAGGCTCTCCTTACGGGTGTTTGCCGCCAGCGTATTTGCTTACACTCCCGAGCTCAAAATCCTTGCACCCTCGCACGATCCTCTGTTATGCGTCTAGCCATCGTGGAGGGCGGCGTCGGCGTGATGCGCTTGTAATCGGAAGAACTGTCGGGGTGCAAGGCGAGTTGGTTGAAATCAACGTCAATCGCTGCAAATTGTTCGTAAAAAAC